CGGGTCCGCCACACGCGGTACCGGTGTGCCCGGAGCAGAGCGACCTGCCGAGTCGCGCTCCTCTGTCCCCGCCCGCCCCCCTGCGTGGGCAGCCGGGCCTTTCGCGGTGGGACGGGAAGGGAGCGGAGCCGAGCCAGGAGGAGCTCTGTCCCTCCTCTGTCCCAGTGCTGCAGAGTCGTCTTTTTGGGACAGATGCGACACTCCATTTTGCTAAGGGACAATTACTTCCAATTTTCTTTTTTAAGTGTTTTTGATCTTAATTTCATTCATCACTAATTGTTCAGAGCTATTTCAGGTGAATGAAATAAGAACCAGTAATGAATGGCAGAAGGTGAATGGCGTGAGAACCAGGAATGCTTGTCACAACCTGCTTCCATCGCCTCCAGGTGCTGCTGCCTCTGAGAACGCTCTCGGAGGAGGCGCGAGTTCCTTGGCTTTTTGCACAAACTCCGCTCTTGCCCTCACAGGGGAAAGACTAAATGCATATTTTTTTTTTTTTTTGCCATTTCTGTTTGTCCATTGACCAAAGCTGTTTGTGGAATTGAGGTTAAAAATAAAGTCCATGACTTTTAGTGAATATTTTTGTCATCTTTACAGAAGTATCTGTTTTTTAGTTGCAGAATAAATAACAAAGAAAAAATAAAGAAATAAAATCAGTAGTCAGTTTCATCACATAGTGCCAAAAAGTCAAACGGAGACTAAATCTAACCTTGGCACTAAGTATTGCAGGGGAAGCTGTAAGATAAATGCTAAAACAGAAATTATTTTGTTGAGTTTCTTTATCTTTCAGTGTCAGATTTTGTTTATTCCCTTGTTTCATGTTTAGAAAAAATATGAAAAGAAATACAGATTTGTTTTCTGTACACATATATAAAAACCTAAATGTTGAAATATTACAGGTTAGGAGCAGCATGGGTAGAAAATACAAATGTATTAAAGGTCGTAACTCTGAGACTGTAAGGATTGTTTTGATTATTTGATTCAATTGCTGATTTTATTCCTACCAAAATTGCTAGCTTGGATGCTGCTGTCATTGCAGAGGGTTTTCTCAATTGTTTTACATAGATATTAACTCATTGGTAACTGGAAAGTGTCACCAACCTCTCTTTTGTTTTTGTTTTTTTTTTTTTAACTACTCAATAGTAGTTTAGTATCTCTTCACAATTTTAATCGGCATTTACATGAGCTGGAGGGTCTTTTTAATTTAGCCCACTCAGTCAATCTCATGAATCCTTCACCTGGCCTTTCTGAAGTATCTGACTCTAGGGCATGTTAAATTGCTGGAAGCGATAAGTAAACTTACTTGCCTTGTCAAAGCAGATACTCAGAGCTCTGCATTTCCTTCTAACAGCTAGTGATTCAAATAATGTTTCCATTTTGATACTCTTGTTGCAGACATTGCGATCATTGAAGTTTTTGTGTAATTGCCTCATTTTGTTTATTCTGACAGCTCAATTGCTTTTTTGTGTAGCTTTGCAGTTTTGGATCACTAAGTGGTCTAAATATGGTGTTTTGATGTCTGCAGCGTAGATTTGTTAGTAATTACGTTTTAAAAGATGGCAATATCTGCATTTAAATTACAGTTAAATTTGCTGTAGTATAATAAATATAACTGCTGTATTTTAAAAGTACAGCATATTCTCAATAATCTTCAGTAATACAGTGGGCTATAGATTCAAATCTTTCAAAAGAGACTTTCAAAATAATCTTTCAAAAAGACTTCCAAAATAAGCATACATTAGGCCTTTATTTCCTTTATAACGGCATGGGTGGTTTTCAGAAGAGTATCCAGAGTGGAAGAAGCATACGTAACTAACTTCGCTACAGTTTTGTCTTCTGTTTTCTTTGGGGTCTGATTCAAGTAACACACTTTGTACTTTTCTTATTTTTATTCATAAAAGGTCGTTGGAGATGATCTGATAGCCCAAAGAAAAATATTTCTTTAGTGTCTCTCAGGTGCAAAGAGAAAGCATATTTCAGTCACATAAATTCTCATGTGATACTGTTGGCTTTCAATTTTGATTTTCAGTGTGAGGAATTGCATTGTATTTTTCTGTTGGAAAAGAGCTTTACTTTGTTACTTCTATTTAGAAACAACTGGACAGCCACTATGTTTATAAAAATTGGGAGAAAGTTTTTGTTTTGACAAGTATGTTCTCAGTTGCTAAATGGAATGTTAGGACTAACTGTTTTTGTATTTAGGCTGAAAGTAGCTTCAGTGAAGAGGAGGAAGAAAAACTTCAAATAGCTTTTTCGTTGGAAAAGCAGGATCTTCATCTAGTTCTTGAAACTATAACATTCATTTTGGAACAGGTACCTTGTTTCTATCCTTATGAGTTGATATATATATGTATATTTTTTTATCCGACTGTAGATTTCAAAAATATAAAAGTCAAGTTAAAAAGGAATTAGTGAAAACATGTATATGTAGCACATTATGTATGTTTTGGAGGCATGATTTTAATTGCTTTTGTTTGCATGCCTTCCTGATTTCCATTGGACTCACTGCATTTGTGGAGTGAGTTTCCAGCTAATGTAAATATAGGTGGAAGCGAGCTCTGCATGACTCCAAGAGGAGTGTTGATAATTATGAGATGTAGTCTTCCCTCATATTCATTGTAAGCAATGTAGCACATTATGTATGTTTTGGAGGCATGATTTTAATTGCTTTTGTTTGCATGCCTTCCTGATTTCCATTGGACTCACTGCATTTGTGGAGTGAGTTTCCAGCTAATGTAAATATAGGTGGAAGCGAGCTCTGCATGACTCCAAGAGGAGTGTTGATAATTATGAGATGTAGTCTTCCCTCATATTCATTGTAAGCAAGCCAGCCGTGCATTTTTTTTAATGCCTGTATGGGAAAATATTAGATGGCATTATTGAGCACTGCTTAAGTTACATGAAGTTTCAGTTATGGAAAACTTTGATGCACAGGCGCAGCTGATGTAGCTCTGGTATCTGAATGAGTAGGTGACTGCACGGTCTAGAGCTAAATATCTTGTGAACAGGCAAGGTTTTCTGGTTCTGCAGTCTACCACTACAGAGGCTGGGAAGCCAATGTATTACCCGGTAGATACGGTAACTTTCTTAGAAATTGTCACAGCCATGATGTTATCCATCCATTTCATGCAAGTATAGTAAATGTAGTCTGTGCAGAAGGCATGCATATTGATGGTCTGTTGTGGGATTTGAATCTTGTCCTCTTGCACTTGCCGGTTTGTGATTAGTTCACTTAGTTAACACATTTCACAGCGTTAGAAAGAAAACAAACAAACAGTCCTCCCTATGGCTCCTATCCATTGGTGTGAAAAATCAAAACAAAACCTGAGGTCACATCCAGACTGAAATTTTGGATTTTCATCTCAACCAAACAGCGAACTTACCTGTTCTATTGCCTGATCCTAATTTCATCAGACGGCTTCAGTTTTATAATAATTACTGAAGATGAACAGAAAAAACAGTTCAGTCTCCTCTAGGGCTTGCTTCTTTTTGCATTTAAAAAAAGAAGAAAGGGAAGGATATTAATAGCTGCCCAAAGAAGAGTCTGAGATGGAATACGTGTTGTATGAGGACTCTTGCGTTCCCGCTGATAGCTATACTTCTTAGAGTAGCTGCTTGTTCTGTCAGAGAGCATAACTTTTTCAATAGCCCTTTGGTCTATGGATACATTATAGATAATAAGACTGCTACATGGTCTTTGCTGCATGTGTTGTTTCTTCTTTCTTCTTTTTCACCACCCTGGTGCTGATGGAGTCCTGTTTTGAAAGTGGAGAGGAGCATGCTATATAGAGTGTTTACCACAAAAATTGATACTAATAGGGAGGTTATATCTAACTCACCTTTTTTGGCAAACTGTTCCTGTCTTTTCAGAATATTACCTCATAGTTCAGGCTTGCTTGAACAGTGTGAATTTGGAAAAGTTGTCCTTTCTTCACGGTCACAATTGACTTCAAAGCCTAGTTTTTTTTCAGTGATAGCTGGTTTGGCATTATGTACAGTGGAAACATACACATATACTCAGATCTAGCTTGTATATGCATTTTTTCATAGTTTGTCTATCTTGAGAAAAGTCATTTGTAATATTGCATTTTGAGATATAATTGAGAAGATAGTTACACTTTTCTATCTTCTCAGTCAGAGAGTTAAGATGAACAGGATGCTTGCAGTCCCACAGTAGAGTTGCTAGTAAAAATCTTTTGTGAACATGGTGGCCATCTGTGGTGGAATATATGTGACACAACTTGTAGAACAGTACTTGACAAGAGCAGTTATTTTTCCTTTTAACAGGCAGTCTATCATAATTTGAAGCCTGCTTCATTGCAACAACAGCTGCAAAGCATTCACCTGGATCAAGACAAAGCTGAAGCATTTGCCAGTGCATGGGCGGCTGCAGGTCAAGACACGATTGAAAAGTTCAGGCAGAGGGTTTTGACCCCTCAGAAGGTAATGCTTTTTTCCTAAGAGAGAATAAAGCTGTGTAGGTTTGTTTCAAAGCAAGGAGTTTAAACTAAGATACAAAGTTTGTGACAAGCCAAGGTACTGGAAAATAAAAAGGGTACTTATTAGGTAGTAGATAAATGTGATCAGGGCAGTGGAGTTTCATTGTCTTAAAGAGATGTTACATGTTAGCTGAGCTGCTGTAGCTGTTGGAACCTGACTATATGTGCACTGTTAGCAATGTAAAATAATGCAACCTACATACCATTTGGAGATGTTTGTGAACATGCTTTATGGCAGGACAAGGGTAAAATGTGCTTGTGAACGCTTCTAGTGGTTTAGCGCATGGGTTCAGCTCATCAGCCTGTTGATTCTCTGTACTTAAAATGTATCTAAGCTCCTGCCATCTTTAATATTGTAGGCGGGTTGGATCGTGCATTTTGTGAGATACTACGATTTTGAGATATTTTTCTACAATGGCATAATACTCTTGTTTCATATGTGCCTGTTACCAGTTAAAACTTTGGTACATGCTGTGAAAGTCTCATTGTGTCTTTAGGCATAAATGTCTACACTTATGAGAATGTATAATAACATCCTTCTGTTGATTCATAATAAACTTCAACTGCATTAGAAAATGTATACAGAACACATCAGTGTCAGCCAGGATTGAGTGGTTCAAAAGCATTGTGGAACACTGGGTCAATTATTCTTGCTTTATTTTTATCATTGCTATATATCTTGTTGGTATAAGATGCAGTTTGTTACTTTATGATTGGTTAGTAAAATATACATAGAAAATAAAATTTATGTATAAGGTACACATGATACACTGACAGAAATAGAACAACATAATTTATACTGGCAGGTTTACACCTAAATAAACCTAGAATTTTATTTAGGTGTAAAATGCACATTTTGAGAAGACAAGGTACGTCTGTGGAGCAAACTAAAGATATTCAGAATTGCATCACAGATGATTTTTCCAAAGTATTTAAACTTGATCCTTTCTAAAACTGGGTAATTTTAGACACAAAATTTGTACAATTTTCATGTGCAAAATTATAGTAGCTCACGAACCTAGCCAAGTAAATGACTGTTAATGTAAGTGTGCAAAAAAAATTTGAGTTGAACAAGACATTTTGGACTTCTGTTTTTTTGAGGTAATGTTTACCAATGCCAAGCATGCAAGTCCAAAGGTTAAATGGTCAGCGATACAGTGAGTATATAGGCAAGTATGACTGTCCGTTGAAGGAGGAGAGTAATTTGAAAACCAGGTGAAATGACGGAAAGTTGTAAGGCTAACTTTTTAAAATACAGCATATGTGTGCAGAATGGAAGGCAATTCTGAAGATACCCTACAAAGCAGCTGTCTGAGAATTTTCTTCAGACAGACTATGCACTAACACATATTTTATTGCCAGGTCTTCAGCATATGAGATACTAATAAAAACCTCTTTTATTTGGAGCTTGTACCATACACACCTGTGATCCTTCTGTGACCTAGTTTGGGGTTGACATTGCTCTGTTTCTTGTCTGCGGTTTTGTGAGCCCTGCAACATACAATGCTTCTGGTGTGTGTTACAGTTTTGGAGATTCTTTGTGACTTCACCATGATCTCGTATAATGGAATGACATTTTGCTAGTATATTACATCCCATATAAAGCAGTTTTAAACTGTCATTTGTAATTAAGCTTGCAGAAAAGCAACTGCCAAAATATCATAGTGCAAAATATCATGCATTTAGCATGAAAGCCAATTCAAATATAGTGCCTCTATAAATATATGTGTGCCTCTACATATGCTTAAAGCATCATTTCACCTCCTCTTTTCTCTTTTCTTTTCTTTTCTTTTCTTTTCCTAGCCTAGATGACAAGTTGAGTGTCAATGTGAGTGTAGACTCTAAGGTGTAATTTGAGTTTGAACTTGAATTTACTTTCTCAGTTTGTTTTGAAAACATCTTAATCCTGTAGACTGTAGTTGAGTGAAAAAGTCGAAGTTCAGGAGAACTTTTCCTTAACCCAAAGCCTCAATTCACAGAACTAATTGCTAAATAAAGTATTTATTCTGCTAACAAGGCACACAGAGGTAAAATATTTTAAAAATTGCATGGGATAATGGAAGAAGAACTTGCCATCTCCTTGTAATCTTATGAATCTCCTTGTAATGTCTTATGAGTGCAGTAGATGACTGCGTGATCCCTTCATATATTCATATATTCCTTCTATATTCTATAAGTAATTGCGCATCAGCACATATTTGCTCTATTATCTTTCTGTACCTTGAGAAATAGTGGGCAAAATATTCTCTTACTTGTGATACATTGTTATAGTAGCCAACTTGCTGTAAACTTTCATCAACACCTCGAATTAAAGTTTAAAAAAAGTTAGAATCCTGCAAAATAGACCAGAGTGCTAGCTTTTTAGATTAGATTTACAATTTAGGTTTTTAGATTGATTTAGAGATTATATTAACTTCTTTCTTTGTAGAAGGAAATGTGTATCCAATTATTAATATTCTCTGAAACGTGTATATGGTTATAACATTTAAAACAATTGACCCTATAAATGTGCCCTCTGTATAGGTACTTCTTTACGTGGCCGTATATAAGTTAATGATTCGCGCTGTTCATTTCTCTCACAGAAGCCATGTTAGGTACATAAAAAGAATATGACCGTTCTGTTGTCATAATTGTCAGCAACGTAATCACAGAATCACAGAATGATTGAGGTTGGAAGGGACCACTGGAGGTCATCTGGTCGAGCCTCCCTGCTCAAGCAGGGCCACCTAGAGTCAGTTGCCCAGGACTGTGTCCAGACAGTGTTTGAACATCTGAAAGGATGGAGATTCCACCATGTTCCTGGGCAACCTGGTGCCATTGCTTGGTCATCGTCAAAGTGCAAAAGTGTTTTCCTGTGTTCAGGCAGAGCCTCCTGTGTTTCAGTTTGTGCCCATTGCCTCTTGTCCTGTCACTGGGCACCACTGAAATTAGCCTCACTCCATCCTCCTTGCACCCTCCATTCAGGTATTTATATACATTGATGAGATCCCCCTGAGCCCTCTCTTCTCCAGCCTGAACAGTCCCAGCTCTCTCAGCCTTTCCTCATATGTGAGGTGCTCCAATCCCTTCATCAGCTCTGTGGCCCTTTGCTGGACTCTCTCCAGTATGTCCATGTCTCTCTTGCACTGAGAGCCCAGAACTGGTAAGGCCTCACTAGTGCTGAGTAGAAGGGAAGGATCACCTCCCTCAGCCTGCTAGCAATACTCCTAATGCAGCTCTAGATACCTTTAGCCGTCTTTGCTGCAAGGACACATTGCTGGTTTATGTTCAACTTGGTGTCCTTTGTGTCCCCAGGTCCTTTTTTGCAAAGCTGCTTTCCAGCTGGGTGGCCCCCAGCATGTACTGGTCCCTGGGGTTGCTCTTCCCCAGATGCAGGACTTCTTTGCACTTCCCTTGTTGAACTTCGAGGTTCCTGTCAGTTCACTTCTCCAGCCTGTCCAGGTCCCTCTGGTTGGCAGCACAGCCCTTTGGTGTATCAGCCACTCCTTCCAATTTTGTGTCATCTGCAAAGCTGCTGAGGGTACACTCTGTCCCGTTATCCAGATCATTAATGAAGATGTTGAACAGGACTGGATTCAATATTTGCCCCTGGGGTACACTGCTAGTTACTGGCCTCCAACTAGACTTTGTTCCTCTGATCACCACCCTCTGGGCCTGGCCATTCAACAGCTTTCAATGCACCTCTCTCTCTGCATCATCATCATGTATCAACAGCTTGTCTATGAGGATCTTAAGGGACACAGTGTCAAAGGCCTCCCTGAACTCAAGGTAGACCCTATCTGCTGCTCTCACCTTGTCTCACCAAGCCAGTTATTTCATTGTAGAAGTTTATCAAGTTGGTCAAGCATGACTTCCCCATTGTGAATCCATGCTGACGACTTCAAATCACCACCTTCTTCTTCACATGCCTGGAAGTGGTTTCCAGGATTAATTGTTCTGTCACTTTCCAAGAGACCGAGGTGAGGCTGACCAGCCTTTAGTTCCCTGGGCCCTCCTTGAAGAGAGGAGTGATATTTCATTTCCTTGGGAATCTTGAGGATTGGCATTTGGTGGGGAATTCTGAATTTTTTTTGTTTGTTTGGATGAGTGGTTTTTTTTAAGACTCTTGATTTATTCATGCTCTGTGTACGGTTGAAGTTGCATTCATAACGATGCTTTTTTTTTGTTGAGTGTACCTTGTAGTTTTGTTAGTGATTCAGATTCCAAAAATATAGGAGTTACTGTACTGGATCAGAAAATCTGTTCATTGTCTTTGACACCTTGGATGGAGGCATAGGAGTGGAATCCTCTAGTTAACCTGTTTGATGAAAACTTCTGCCTCACCTCATGACTTGGAAGCTGTCTTATACCCTCAAAGACGATTGTTTTTCACTTGTGAAATATTCTACTTAATGAACCTGGAGACTTCAGTCTGTGTACTTGCCTGATTTCTGATTTTCTACCACTTGAGGGAAAAGTGTTACGTATTGATGCTTTTGAAAAACAGTCTATCCATTATCTTTTGATTTTAACGTATATCCCCTTTCTTATTACGAGAAATACTAAAGAAGAGTGTGGTCTTTCTTGTTTTTATTTTAAGCTACATAGTCTGCGATTTCTCACTCTCATTCCATGGAATTTTCCTGTTTGTCATCCTTCATGTTATCTGTCGCTGACATATTTCTGCCATATTTTGGAAGAAACTAATGTGAATAGAGTTTGATATGGGCTTTCCTGGAATATTAATACTTTATGTGGTGGCTCCCTCAGGGGTCTGGACTGGGACCAACACTATTTAATGTCTTCATCAATGACATAGTGGGATTGAGTGCACCCTTAGCAAGTTTGTGGATGACACCAGGCTGAGTGGTGCAATTGATTTGCTAGAGGGAAGGAATGCCATCCAGAGGGACCTTGATAAGCTTGGGGAGTAGGCTCATGTAAACCTCATGAAGTTCAACAAGG